TTTTTTAAACAAGCAATAATTTAGTGATGTTGAATAAGATTCATCAACAACTATCTCTGTTATACATTATCATGTCATATCTAAACTGACATTCATCGATATTGATGGTGAAATACAATGACGGCATGTATTACATTAGAATGAATTGTATGCAACAATCTAGCTTTGATATAAATCGTTGTAATTTGATTATGAGCTTTCGTTTGTTGTCTGTATTATTTCATTTGAGCACAAAATATTTCAAGAAAAAAGAAATTTTAATAAAAATCTTGTAGAATATATTCGTTGTAGTTAGAAAACATTGAGCAATAAATACAAGCACATTTTTTACTAAAATATATTTTACTGTACTTGATTTTTACCAACATGAAAGAATTGCAAGAAGGTCTCTTTCTGTTCTCATCAGAAATTGCCAAATTCAAACATATGAATGACTCAACATATTGAGTCATCCCATAGCTTACCTGTCCACGTCAGCAAATAATTCAACGTGGCTAGTCTACTGAAAAAGTATAAAAACAGATGTTCAAGTAGGAGCAGATAGTATTATCAAACTAGAAATCATGGCATTTAACTATACGACTGAAGTTGAATTTGATTATCTCTTAAAAATATTAATTATTGGTGATAGTGGAGTTGGGTATGTATATTTCTTTTCATTTTGTCTTCCTATCTATAACTATTTGTATTCTTTAGAAAAACTACCATCTTACAACGATTTGCGAATGATTATTTTTCAACAGAATATGTAGCAACTATAGGTGTTGGTAAGTATTTCATTTACGATCTAATCATTTGGTATATTGTTGCTTTCTTTTATCATAATAGATTTTCAAATTCGAACATTAGAAATCGATTCTAAACGTTGTAAATTACAAATATGGGATACAGCTGGTCAAGATCGTTTTAAATGTGTTGTATCTTCATTTTATCGTAATGCAAATGGTGTTATCATCTGTTTTGATATAACAGATTTAGAAAGTTTTCGTAATGTTAATAATTGGCTTGAAGAAGTTAAACGATATTGTCCAGAACAAACACCTATGTTTCTTATTGGTACAAAATCGGATTTAAAAACACGACGTATGGTTTCCGATGATATAATTAAAGCTTATGCTGAAAAAAATCAATTATCATATCTTGAAACAAGTTCAAAAACAAATGAAAATGTTGAAAAATGTTTTATTAATTTTACACGAACTTTAGTTGCTCATACCAATCAAATGGAAATGATCTATAAAAAAAAGCCAATACCAGGACCAGAAGTCGATTTGAATAGTCGACGAAAAACAGTTATAAATTCAGATAATTCTGGATGTTTGGGTGGCAGTAAATGCACAATTTAATTATTGAAACTTTTACTTCAGTCTTTTTTTTTAAATGTAAATATCGATATATTTTCTAAAGTTTACAATTAAAAAGATGTAATTTCACAAAAAAATATTCGAACATAATATTAATAATCTTAGACATTCTTCAGAAGTCATACGAATATATACGAGAAAGAAGAGAAGACATTCGTGAATATCACTATCAAATAAAGCACATCGAGGTGCCAGCAAGAAGCATAATCGAAATCTAAATTTTAATAACACAAAACAAACACTAACCAATCCTTTGAACAGTCTATAGAGATATACCAATTCCTGAGTCATAGTTTCAAATATTTAAAAAACTTTTAAAATATTTTGATTAGTTTTTCTTGCTGTTAAAAATGCTAATTATTTTATTAAAGAATAAAATTTTAGTTTCGAATATACATCACAATACTGACAAAAATCTTATTCATAACTTTTTTTCAATTTATACGCTTTAATACACAACAACAATACAAATATTTCACAAAAAAAAAAAAAAAAAAACAATAAATAAAATTTACACTGATCTTCATGTTGCACTTTTTTTTCTCATTATTTACTGATACTATATAAAATATACAAAAAATTCTATAATACAAACTATTAACAATATACCACAAATAGATACTGGACTGTTTCGAAAAAAAAAAGGCAAAGATGAAAACTACAATACAAAACATATAAAATTAAGTACGTTAAAAGTATTGAATAGAAATTTTTTTTTTTAATTTACTATAATACATATTCGTATCACAAAAATAATGTTTTGACGTAATAAGAAATCGAAAACCACAAAAAAAAACAATACAAATGTAATATATATATATATACATATATATAAAGAAACTAAACAATGGATTTTGTTGATAAATTACTTGATGATGATACTGAAAAATGATCATCATCGTCATTATCATCATGAAATTTTAAATATGGTAATGCAAACCATTTCCATCGTTCATTAGGCCAAAAATGTAAATGAAGATTTGCTTGAGGATTTTGTTGTTTTATTGTTAAATAGCCACAAACAACAATACCTTCATTACTACTAAATAAAATTAATACATGCCATATAGAATGTAAATAAGGAAATGATATTGAGAGCCAATATGAACAAAATATTCGATCACTTATCCATATTATAACTGCTATAACCCACATAAGAAAACAATGTAGACCAAGATTTTTTATACGTGAATTATCACATCTTAAAAATAAAAGACATATATATAAAATATATCAATAAAATGTAAAATATTGAAATTTTTACCGTAAAAGATGAAGAATAATAAAGCCTATGGCAGGTAAACCAAGAATCATAAGAGCAAAAGCATTTGCATATGGATAAACAAACGAAAAACAAGTAATAACCAAAGCAAAAATAATACAACTGTAGACAAATCGGTGCCTAAAAAAAAATGAATAACTAGTTATAATCGACAAAATGAAGTTTTATCTTCGTAAGAAAGATTTCTTTTGAAATGACAAAATACTTTTCTTTTCATATTTTCACAGTAATCAAATTAATCAAGATGAAAATTCAGTAAGTCCTCAAAGGACTATACTCGAAACAGATACAACAAACTCCAGTATGTCTATTTAACATAGCCGAAAATTCGATTAAAAAGAAAAAAATATATATAAATACCTATGGACACGGAATGATCGAGGTAAATAATTAGCGGGTAAAAAGAGTGCATAACCAATCGTCAATACCCAAAGAATTGATATTTCATCAACTAATTGTCCAACCTAAAAAGATGATCAAGTTCGATTACTTTTGTTTTTTTTTTTTCTTTTTAAAATTTAATCTCAACATACAAGACTAAGTGTAGCATGAAAATAAACAGAACCAATACCAATAATAATTAGTAAAATCCAAAGAATTGCTATTCCATTTGCTACTCGTTTTGAATATGGTCGAAAAAGAAATATCATTAATGGTGGTACCAAAAAGAAGAAAATATTCGATACCTTAAAATATATAGAGAGAAAAAAATATATATATTTTCGAATTAATATACTTTAAATTATAGTCATGAAAAATTTCCTATGAAAACAAAAAATTATAGCCAATTCAAAATTAAAAAATAGCAAGCAGGGAAAAAAAAATAATAAACATGCATTTATACATATAAAATATATAGCAATTCCGAAACGGCAAAACTAAACAAGTTACCTTTCATCCATCTATTTAGCATTTTAGCCAGCAATATACAAATAGAATTAAATAATCGATTCAGCTGTTATTGTAGCCTGATTTAATTGTGCATAACGAAAGGAGAGGAGAATAGGAAAAGTTTGTTTTGTTTTTTTTTTTTTTTCTCTTCATACTTACTGTATTCCAAAATTCAGCAATATATTCACTAACAACATAATTTGGTTCACACCAATCGACTTTACTTGAACCAAGTCGAAATGGATTTCCATTTAGATTATTTAAATCAAATTTGGATATACTTGTTGTTAAATACATTTAAATCTAAAATTATTTATTTTCATGTCAATGATCTAATACACGGTCATCATGATGAATTTAAAATGAAATTAAATATATCGAATATGGGTACTAACAGCACTTTTAGGATTTTATATAGTGTTGGTATAAGCAAAATAAATAATATAAAAAGATCTAATCTATCAGTAGGCTGTACTAGAAAAATATCAAGTAGTCTCAAATGATACGTGTGTATAATATAAAAATGTCACAAGCAAAGATAAATTGACTCTAATGCAAAAAAAAAACTCGAAAATTCTAATAATGTATATAGATTATTCTTTGAATAAAATTTTCTTCATTTTTAAGTTACTTACATCAGCATCATTAAACATAACATTTATAATCTAACTTAAATAAAATCTTGAATCTACACAAGAAAATTAAAAACATAAATATATGTGTGTAAAATATCCCATTTATTTTCTGTTGATGACATTCACATAATCAAAAAAAAAAAGCAACAAAACAAAAACAATCAAACCAATATAAACTATATTGTTGTATTGTTATTATTTGTTAATAAAATGGGATTGATCTTTTCTTTTTCTTTTTCTTTGAATATTAATTGTTTTCATTGAAAACCAGCTCGTTGAGCATAAGGACGTTGTTGTCGATCAGAACCACCACGTTGATTTCCACCTTGTTGATTTTGTTGATCACTTGTTTCTTGTAAACCAACATTAGGTAATGATTTAAAATCGAATGCATTTAACATATCCTTCGTATCTTGATCAATAGCAATCATATTTTGTGGTTCAAGTGCTGATACTTCGGGTACATAATTATCACGTCGTTCACGTTCTTCTTCTTGAAGTTTAATTGATATACCACGTACAGGTCCAGCTTGAATACGTTTCATTAAATGTGTTATAAAACCAGCTATTTGATTACGAAGACGTTTTGTTGGTATAATAGCTATTTCTTCAACCACACGTTTATTTGTATGAAAATCAAGCGTCAATTTTGTATAATATTTTTCAATTATTTGACGTGATGCTTTTTTAACTGTTTTGGTACGAACACGACCCATTTTTCTTTTTTTAATTGATAGAGAATAACGACGAGATAATCTAAAAATAAAAGTAAGGGAAGACAATATACATTGAAAAAAAAAAATTGAATTTTTTTTTTAATGTTTAGGATCATTCGGGTTTTTTTACAACTATTTTAATTTTAGGTTGTCGTTCGTCAGGTTTAGCAGCATAATCAGATTCTGTATGAAATCGACAATGTTGACAATTATCAAATTCATGAACTTCTGTTGTTTGATCATTATTCGATTCTGGATCATGTGGTTTTGTATATATACAACAACATTTAGATTTCTTTTTATTCAAATTTTCATTATCAATTGTTCCTTCTGTCCAACGTACACGAGGACCAATTTCATTTGAATGATTTAATTCAAGTACAAGTGATGGTGGATTTGATCGTGTAGTTTGACGTGTTTGAGTTTTTGTAATTGTTGATGTCGAAGTTGCCATTTAACAAACAAAAATGGATATAGAACAAATAATTTAATCTGAAAATATAGAAAAAAAAAAACGATACTTAGAAATTCATAACAGTTGAGGAAAATTTTTTTTTTTTTTTATCTAATTATACAGAACTTAGCTTTCAATCATTCAATATTATTTACAAATCAAATAGTTACACCAAAAGAAACAAACAATTGATTATGTTTACTATTTCAAATATCATCATCGGACACGAAACAAAGAAAAAAAAAAGAAATACATATTATATTTGACATGAATATCACAAATTGATTATTGTAAACAATTACACATACCAATCATAATAAGTTTCATTAAGTATTTTTCCATGACCAAGTGTTTGATATTTAATTGAACGTATACCATATTCATTTCCATTATTTGCTTGTTCAATATCAGCTAATATTGTTGTTGTTTGTCTTGTTGGATTTAAACGATCATATTGTAATTCTACACGTTGTTTCCAATGACTATAATCCATAGGACAAAGATTAGCAAGACCATTATAAATAATTGAACGATTTATTTGTCGACCAAATAAACCATTTTTATATTCAACTTGAAATAAACCAGGACAATGATCACATAATAATCTTAATATTCTATCAAGCATACGTATTGTCCATGCATAACCATCATCAGCTAATTTTCGACATGATATATGACATTTTATTGATATATCATCTATATTCCATGGTATATATAAATAATAATGTTCATTAGATATTTTTAATGAAAATTCTAATGCATATTCGGAATCATCATTTCGTATATGAAGAATTATTGAATTTGGTATCCAATAATGACGAAGAGCAATAAGACGAACTTGTTCAAATGCATAATAAGTTAATAGATGATTATGAGATTTATTTAATAGACTAAAGTACATATCTTCAATATCAGACATCTGAAATGAGAAGAATATTATCATATGAAGAGAAAAACAACAACAAATAGATGTTCGTTTAGTATTTTTCGATTTCTCATTAACATGTTAGTTCAAATATGAATATGTTCAAATCTAATTTATCCGTTATTTTGCTGATCATTAAAACAAAAACAAAAACAAAAAAAAAAGAAAGAAAAACTTTTCTTGAAAAAAAAAATCCAATTATCTATTTTCATATAAAGAAAGAAAATCAGGACACAATAGATCAATCGTACATAAGAATAAAATACAAGAACAAATAAATGGCATGCATAATCTCTTTAACAAATATACAAAAATTCTTTTTTTTTTTTTTTTCTTTCTTTGATATTTAACCCTTATGACTAGAACAAAAGAAAGAACTAATAAATATATTATCTCTCACTAATGATCTTTTGTTGTTAATCGATCAATTAATTCTTGTAATGGTGCTAATTCTTTTTTTTCAACTAATGAAAATTCTTGTATAAAATAAACAAAATGTTTAAATGATGTATTTAAATGTGCTTCTTCTTTAAGCATAACAACTTCTTTAAAATGTTGATGATATATATGAGCATAAACACGAAATAAACGTTTTAATATTGTTTTAGATATCGATAGAAAATTTTTTGGAAATGATACACCAATTTTTGATGGAAATATTAATTCATCATCAAGTTGATCTTGTACCCATGACATTAAATAATCAATATAACGTGGTGCTGAACATTTTATTGGTTTTTTTATTGTTTGACCATCTGCCCAATGATATTCATATTTTGGTCCTGCTGTCATTAATACACATGTTGTTTCTGTACAAAATTCTGTTATTGTACCATAAAGCATATTTATTTGATTAAAAAAATCAACAACTAAAATGAAATTAAACGAAAGAAATCTTTCAAATAGTAAATCACTTTTTTCTAGAAAAAAATGGTTGTATACTTTTTTTTAGTACTCTAACATCTATAACTAGAATATTCGTTTTGTGAGACATAGAATTTCTCGAAGAATCATCCGTATTTCATGAAATCAATGTCTTACAAAGAGATTTGTCTAGTTACAAATAGTTCTTATCGTTTTGAAAACCTTATTCATAGTATTCGAGTTCAAAAAATGATTTTCAATTCTCGATTTCATTTTATGTAAAAGGACGATCGGAAAAATGTTTCCTTACACTTGACTCAGTAATGGAATTAATCTTTCGAAAATTCGTTTGAATGAAATTTGTTCAGTTTAACCTTCTTGAAAGTATTTTACTAAAGATCGTGATCAGAATATTGGCTTAAAAATGTTTTGTCTAGTTTTTTTTCATGAGTAATAAGAAACTTTTCGCAAAAAAAATTATATTTTAATGGTGAGTCATGAGATCTTTATTTACTTTTTTTTGAATATGCTAAAATTCTAACTGTTCAAAAATGAACAATCATTTTATTTAAAAACTTTTTGATTATTCATAATTTTTATAGAATCTTTCTAAATTTATTATTTGTTTTAAGAATATATTATATCTTAGAAATTTAGTACTTTATTCAAAAACGGATATGACTATAACTTCATTATTCTAATTGTATGGATATTTCTGCTCATTTTTTAATTAATACTATAGAACATCTACTATATTGATTCTTATCTCCTGAAAATATTTTTCTCTATTTTAATATTATATGAGAAATTATTTGAAGAAAAATAAAAAGAATTCACTAGTTCAAAAGAAAAAGATTTTATTCATTTAAATATATTTACTATTAACAGCAATCCATTCATTAAGATCTTCTCCTTCAGGTAATTGTACAGCTAAACGTAAATTTCCACTTCCTAATGTATTTTGTGCATGTTTCATTAAATCATGTTGTTTTGTACCTATTTAAAAAAATAAAAAGAAATCAATTTTAAGAAAAATAAAATACAAATATAAATACCTTCTGGTATATTTCGATGAGGTTTAAAAGTACGTTGTTGTCGGCTAATAAAACAAAAAAAAATAAAATAAATTTATTGTTTTTTTTTTTTGGAAAAATAATAATAACATACAACAAAAAATTCATTTTGTCGTCTCCTCATGGGGAGATTAAAAAAATAAATATATCATTTCATTACATTGATTGAATAGATGAATATGTTTTAGATATAAATAAAAACAAATTCTTATTTTAATCATGCCATCTATTTATTCATTTTTCGATCCTTATTTTACCATTAATGTTTATTTCATCGGTCCTCCTCTAGTTTTGCTAATATATGTTTTTTTTTGTTTTTTATTTATTTTTAATACAATGAGTGACATCTATTTAATAAAAATGTATATAGATGATGGTTGTATCTAAGCAATGAAAAATGTCCTATACGTCTTCGTGATGCATTAATCTTAACCAATTACTAATCTATTGGTTTTTAACACATGGGTATACTTGATTCATTAATTGAATGGCTTGGTTTTGGTCGAAGAGAAGTTAACGTATTAGTTGTTGGTCTTGATAATAGTGGTAAATCATCACTTTTAAATTATTTACGACCACATGAAGCTCAAACTAATGATACAACACCAACAGTTGGTTTTAATGTAGAACATTTTTCATATAATGGTCTTTCGTTTTCTGCATTTGATATGAGTGGACAAAGTCGTTATAGAACATTATGGGGAAATTATTATCGTACAACAACTGGTATTATATTTGTAATTGATAGTTCGGATAAAACACGTATTCTTGTTGCTCGTGAAGAACTTCAACAATTACTTTCACATCCGGATGTATTAAAACGTAATATTCCTATTTTATTTTTTGCTAATAAAATGGATATACGTGATGCATTATCAGATGTAGGTGTATCATCTGCATTAACTCTTGAAAATATTACAAATAAATCTTGGTATATATGTTCAAGTAATGCACTTACAGGAGAAGGTATTGTTACTGGTATTGAATGGTTGAGTTCAGCAATTAAAACTTCACTCGAGCAAAGAAAACAATGAAAAAAAAAAAAATAATAATAATATATTTTCTTTAATTCTAACACGTATGTGCAATTTTATATCTCAAGTTTTGCATTTTGAGAAATATAAAATAGCGCTTTATTTTTGATAATATATAATGAGAAAATTTTTCATACATGTTTGATGTTGTCATTGGTTATTTCATAAACAAAAAACAAAGTATAAACAACGACTTTTAAATTCCTATGTGAATTCAATAGGTAATCATACTGATTTCATAATGGCTCAAGTAAATTGAAAGTCAATTGAATTTCTCTCTTTTGTTTGTTTTTTATTGTGCTTTACTTTGTTCATTTTTAAACCTATAATATATACAACAACAAAATGCAACATGCACTGGTTTTTATGTTATATTCATCTTAAAAAACGAATATTCACATTTGAATCATGATAAAGAAAATTTATAGGCTTCTCATAATGGTCGATCAGCATATATATCAACTACTATAGTCATTAATAATTTCTGTGGTTCAAAATAAATGAAACATGTAATCATAGTAAAGAGAAGTCTATTATTTCTCTCAAGTATACTATTAGACATAGAACTAAATATTGATAAATAAATAAATGAGAAAAATGAAGAGATCTATAGACATAGATTAGAAGAAAAAAAAAATGTCGCCGTCATTCGTGCATATCAACATACATGACAAAAATAAATATTTTCTAATTTTTCATACATAAAATAATCTTCATCTTATTTGATTATTTCGATTATATTCTTAGATCGAGCCCACCATTCATTCAAGCTGAGATCTAATAGATGCATTTTATTTCGATACAATTTTTATGTTTTAAATTTAATTGCTTTTTACAAGGGGAATATGCTTCATTTAGATGCAGCACATTTCGTCTTTTCTTACTACGCATAATGTTTTAAAGTAAACAAAGTATGTTAGAAAAAACAAGGGGTAACTCAAGTGATCTCCACTATACACCAGTGATCGAGCACCTTCCTTTTTTTCTTCGTATGTAAGGCAAATCACGAAAAACAAATTGTGGCTTGAAAATAATTGTGAATCCAAATGCTTTAACAGAGAGAAAAAAGTATTTCTTGCCGCATATGATAATTTTTAACAACAG